AAACGATATCACACCATTCTGGCATCCTTTCTTGGGACTCTTGCTGAGTCCACCACCCACAGAGTCCTCAGGGAAGGGTGTCCAGAGGTGCAATATCCAACCGGATGATCCAGAGGGAACCCCATAAAAGGATAGAGGTGCCCAGAGGGAAGCCCAGAGATGATAGACGTGCCCATAAGAGGATTCCACTGAACCATGGAGATGATACATGTTTCTATATGCATATTGGAATTATGCATCTGGTGAGTGTATAATTCGAATAATTTGATCACCAGAAGAAGCACAGTGGATCACTTACTTCATTTATATACATAGACTTTGGGATTGAGTAGTCACTTTTATATATATGCACTACTGTCACTTTTAGTTATCTTTCCATTACAAGTTGGATTATATGCTCATTAAGACTGTGCAATTGGGATCATACTGTTACAGACCATTTTCTCGGTACATCAGTATTTACATTCTATATCTGATAGTTATTGGAATAGCGCTGCGCCTTTGCTGTCAGTTTAGTTCAAAGAGGTTCTTTGGTGCCTTTTCGGTGTACAGCAGCTTAATTTTAGCGCTCACTTTTACCCTTTTGCATATTATGGTCAGATGGAGTGTAGGGATACCTGACTCCCTGGCAGTTGCAGGCCCCCACAAGCTTCCAGGCCAATAGGGGCTACATTTACAGTGATATAGGCCCCAGACTCCTGTCACAGTCCCTGGGGCACTGGTAGGGGACTTGTTGGGTGCTGACTGTACTCCCCCCGCTGGCTGTACTCACGATTGAGTTGGATGGTGTCCAGAACAGGGGCCTGGTTATGTCATGGCAGGCTGCGGTAGGTCTTAACAGGCCGGGTATGCCAGATGTGGGGAGTGTCGGAAAGGCCTCCGGTGCCCACTAGAGGCTCCCCACTGACTGGAGGGAAGTTGATTGTGCAAGGAGGAGAGATCACAGTAGGCCACACCGAGCCAACCGTGTCTGCCGCCGTGGAGAGGGGCCAAAGTCGCTCGGCTCCCCCCCTCTAGGTGCGGGCAGGGTTGGGGAGAACTCCGGTGCCCGCTGATGGCCTTCTGCTGCCTGGATGGCCACGGATTCAGGTATAAGGCTCCGGAGCTAGCGATTATACGGCCGATTCGGTCACCATCTTGGACACGCCCCCAAGGACGTACATTTCATTTGGGTGTAGTGTTGCATGACCGCGCAATTGTCAGTTAAAGTAACGCAGCGCCATAATGCAAAAAATGGCCTGGTCAGGAAGGGGGGGGGGGGGTAAATCCTCAGGAGAGCAAGTGGTTAATCAATGCATCGGGGATAACGTCTTCAGATACAGTGGGTAAAATAAGTATTGAACACATCTCTATTTTTCTCAGTAAATATATTTCTAAAGGTGCTATTGACATGGAATTTTCACCACATGCCGGTAGCAATCCATACATACAGAAAAACAAAACAAATATGTTCAGAAATTAGGGTATGTGTAATAAAATGGAATGCCACAGGGGAAAAGCATTGAACACATGAAGAAAGGGAGGTGGAAAAAAGGCATGGAAAGCCAAGACACCAGCTGAAATGATCAGTAATTAGAAAGCATTCCTGCCCCTTGTCAGTGCAAATTAATGTCAGCTGGTTCAGTCTCAACGGATGGCCTTTAACCGCCTTCCGCCCACCATATAGTAATATGATGGATGCAAAGTGGTTCTCTCGTTCCCATTCTAACCGCGCATGCACATGCACGGAAAGAGCCGAAGATGTCGGCTCGGTCATGTGATCAGCTGTGTCCAATCACAGCTGATCACATGTAAACAGGGAAATGCCGGTTATCTGCATTTCTCTCCCCATGAACTGTCACTCTGACAGCTCGTGAGGAGAGGAGAGCCGGTAATCAGCATTCCTCGGAGGGGACATGTACACAGATCATCAGAGCACTGATGATCAGTATGCTCTGATGATCTGTGTAGCCCCAGCAGCGCCACTATCAGTGTCAGCACTCAGTGCTCCTCCATGCCACCTGCCAATGCCATATATCAGTGCCCATCTGAGCTGCCTTTCAGCGTCACACATCAGTGCCACTATCAATGCCAGTCAATGTGCATCAGTGCCGCCTAACAGTGCCAGTCAGTGCCACCTAACAGTGCTAGTCAGTGCCGCCTATCAGCGCCATATATGAGTGCTGCCTTTCAGTGCCCATCAGTGATGCCCTGTCAATGCCCATCAGTGCCACCTATCAGTGCAGCCTCATTAGCGCACATCAGTGAAGGAGAAAAATCACTTATTTACAAAATTTTGTAACAAAAACTTAAGAAAATTTTTTTTTTTTACTTTTCAAAATTTTCAGTGGTTTTTGGTTTGTTTAGGAAAAAATTAGGTACAAGGTACAATTGTTTCAAAGAAAACAATAATTAATGCACTCAACCAGCATGGCCTGTGTGCATGCTCTCCACGCAAGACTCCAAAAAGCATGTTGAAGCTCGTTTAAAGTTTGCTGCGCAATATATTTAGACAAGCCTGTGAGATATTGGGAGAATATTTTTGGTCAGATGAGACCAAAATTGAACTCTTTGGACGCCATAATACACACCGTTTGGAGTTCGAATGGCACTGCACATCGCCTCAAAAACACCATACCACAGTGAAGTTTGGAGGTGGGAACATCATGGTGTGGGGCTATTTTTCAGCATACGGCACTGGCAAACTTCATTTCATTGAAGGAAGGATGAATGGAAAAATGTACCAAGACATTCTTGATAAAAATCTGCTGCCATCAACCAGGATGATGAAGATGAAACAAGGGTGGACATTTCCAATCACCTGACTTGAATCCTATAGAAAATCTATGAAAAGAACTAAAGATCAGAGCTCATAGAAGAGGGCCATGGAGCCTTCAAGATTTGAAGACTGTGTGGAAGAAGGGACCAAAATCACACCCGAGCAATGCATGCGACTAGTTTCTCCATACAGGAGGCGTCTTGAAGCTGTCATTACCAACAAAGGGTTTTGTACGAAGTATTACATTTAAGTTAGCATGTTCAATACTTTTTCTCCGTGTCAATCCATTTTATTACACATAACCTAATTTCTGAACGTATTTGTTTTGGTTTCTTTGTATGTATGGATTGCATGGGTTGTTTCATGGTCACAATTTCATGTCAATAGCACCTTTAAAAATATATTTACCTAGTAAAAATTGTGACATGTTCAATACTTTTTTTTTATCCGCTGTATGTTTAAAAGTGCAAATTTAGGATCCCACAGGTAAAATAATAAGACCAATGTCAATATTCACGTCAGATTAGAGGTCCAATATCGAATTAGCTTCAGCCATCTACACAATATATACAGTGAAGGAAATAAGTACTTGATCCCCTGCTGATTTTGAATGTTTGCCCACTCACAAAGAAATTATCAGACTATAAATCGAATGGTAGGTGTATTGTAACACTGAGAGACAGAATAGCAACAAAAAATTCTAAAGAAATGCATGTCTAACAAATTTATGCACTGATTTGCATGTTCATGAGGTAAATAAGTATTTGATCCCCTATCATGCAGCAGGATTTCTCTGGCTAACATGTGTCTTTCATACAGGTAACAAACTGAGATTAGAAGCAGTCTCTTAAAGGGAGTACTGCTAATCTTATTTTGCTACCTGAATAAAAGACACCTGTCCACAGGAGCAATCAAACAATCAGATTCCAAACTCTAAACCATGGCAAAGACCAAAGAGCTGTCCAAGGATGTCAGGGACAAGATTGTAGACCTACACAAGGCTGGACTGGGCTACCAAACTATCGCCAAGCAGCTTGGTGGGAAACAGTTGGTTCAATCATTCGCAAATGTAAGAAACACAAGACAACTGTCAGTCTCCCTAGTCTGGGTGCACCATGCCAAGATCTCATCTTGTGGAGTGTCCATGATCATGAGAACAGTGAGGAATCATCCCAGAACTATATGTGAGGATCTCGTCAATGATCTCCAGGCAGCTGGGTCCACAGTCACCAAGAAAACAATTGGTAACACACTATGCTGACAAGGATTGAAATCCTGCAAGGTCCCGCTGCTCAAGAAAGCACATGTCCAGGCTGAGTTTGCCACTGAACATCTGAATGATGCAGAGGAGGACTGGTTGAAAGTGTTGTGGTCAAATGAGACCAAAACTGAGCTCTTTGGCATCAACTCAACTCGCCATGTTTTGGAGGAGGAGGAATGCTGCCTATGACCCCAAGAACACCCATCCCAAACTGACTAACATGGTGGTGGAAGCATTCTGTTTTGGGGGTGTTTTTCCACTAAGGAAACAGGATAACTGCACCGCATCAAAGGGTTGATGGACAGGGCAATGTACCGTCAACTCTTGGGTGAGAACCTTCTTCCCTCAGCCATGGCATTGAAAATGGGTCGTGGATGGATGTGCCAGCATGATAATGACCCAAAAACACATGGCCAAGGCAACAAAGGAGTGGCTCAAGAAAAGCACATTAACCACTTCCAGTCCGGACACTTTTACCCCCTTCCTGACCAGGGCAATTTTCAGTTTTCATCTCTATCATACTTTGAATGACAATTGCACGGTCATGCAACACTGTACCCAATTGAATTTTTTACCATTTTTTTTGAGACAGATAAAGCTTTATTTTGGTGGTATTTATTCACCACTGGGATTTTTATTTTTTTGCTATGTAAATGAAAAAGTCCAAAAATTTAGAAAAAAAGTTTTTTGTTTTTTTTTTAATTTTGCAAATATATTTATTTATATTTGCAAATAATAATATTTCATCATAAATCTTGGCCAAAATTTATTCCGTTATCTTTTTAGTAAAACAAAAAAAAATCCAAATTAGTTTATAACCAAAAATTATAATTTTTAAACATTTTTTTTTTACATTTTTATTTTTTTTTATATTATTTTTTATTTATTTTTTTTTACATACTGTCACCCCAGCAGTACAGTGTCACCATGGTGACACTGTACTACTTGTGGGGGGTGATGAAGATTTTTTTTTTTTTTTTTTTTTTTTTTTACACTGATTGCTTTTACACCCATATAGGATGTAAAAGCAATCATTTCTCTTTCTCTCTGTGTGCATTCCTGCACTCATTGAGAAGTACTGAGTGAGCTGTGATTGGTCACAGCTTGTCACATGGTACAAGGCTGTTGTGAATGGCCTTGTACCATGTGACCTCTGTGATCATTCACAGATTTCACACGTAGTAAGCAATGATGTCACATGATGTCACAGTGATCACATGATCGGAACCTCGTACAGAGGTCCCGTCCGACGATCGGTGTTTTACTGTGTCCGGGGGACACAGCGGGCACCGGATCGCGTGGGAGCGCGCACAAGCAGGGTGCGGGGAGGCCGTTTATAAACGGCCACCCGACCCTGCAGTGCCACCGTCCGGCCGTTTATATGCAACGGCCGGTCGGGAAGTGGTTAAGGTCCTGGAGTGGCCTAGCCAGTCTCCAGACCTTAATCCGATTGAAAATCTGTGGAGGGAGCTGAAAGTTCGAGTTGCCAAATGTCAGCCACCAAACCTTAATGACTTGGAGAGGATCTGCCAAGAGGAGTGGACCAAAATCCCTCCTGAGATGTATGAAAATCTTGTGGCCAACTACAGGAAACGTCTGACCTCTGTGATTGCCAACAAGGTATTTGGCACCAAGTACTAAGTCATGTTCTGTGAAGGGGATCAAATACTTATTTCCCTCATGAACATGCAAATCAGTATATAATTTGTTAGACATGCCTTTCTTTTAATTTTTTTTGTTGCTATTCTGTCTCTCAGTGTTACAATGCACCTACCATTCGATTTTTAGACTGATCATTTCTTTGTGAGTGGGGGCAAACATTCAAAATCTGCAGGGGATCAAATACTTATTTCCTTCACTGTATATATCAATGTACTCACATTACTCATATACCTGGCACAATTAGGTGATAGTGCACGACCCCAAAAAAGCATTTGCCATTCATGACGATATTTTACTTTCCTTTTAGTTGCCATCAGAACAATTTCAGTTACCTTAACAATAATTTTTCCTATAGGCGAAATATCACACTTGTCTTGAAGCATAATCCATCTGGAATGCCATGTGCTGTGTAGACTGAGAATGAGCTCCTTAGTCACTTTTGTTGCAGTTGTTTCCTTACTCTGAGCCACAATCCTGTGCAATGTCCTTTTGTCTCGTTTGGTCGGTTGACCATGTCGACTGTGCTTGTTTATCAGGCAATATTTTCCCGAAAACTGTATATGCTGACATAACCTTTTATACTGTACATCGCAACACAGCAAATAAATTGGCAACTTCAGTCACAGAAGCACCAGCTAAGCAGGCACCAACAATTTGCCTTCTTTGAAGCTCAGAAAGTTCTGTTTACTAGCAGCATGTACAGTGAATGACGAAAGTGAGGCTTCCCACCTGTTGGCTGTGTGTCATCACACAGCAGAAGCAAAAGAATGTTACATCACTTCGGCTTTCAAAGCAAAACATGTCGTCACATATATACAGTTGTGTTCAAAATAATAGCAGTGTGTTGAAAAAAGTGAATAAAGCTCAAAATCCTTCTAATAGCTTTTATTTCCATACACACAAATGCATTGGGAACACTACACATTCTATTCCAAATCAAAACATGAAGAAAAATATATCAAATTTGTGTTGTTCCTCTAAAAAAAAATAGCAGTGTTTGTATTCGTTTTTACAAACTCACATTCACTATATAAACTGAAAAATGTTTGAAGATTTTGATTTCCTCTTCAGCATAAGGCAGCTTGACCTCTTCAAGTATTCTGATGTATTCATACTGATCCATGATCCCTGGTATGCCATAAATAGGCCCAACATGGTAGTATGAGAAACATCCCCATATCATGATGCTTGCGCAACCATGCTTCACTGTCTTCACAGTGTACTGTGGCTTGAATTCAGTGTTTGGGGGTCGTCTGACAAATTGTCTCTGGCCACTAGACCCAAAAAGAACAATCTTACTTTCATCAGTCCACAAAATGTTGCGCCATTTCTCTTTAGGCCAGTCAATGTGCTCTTTGACAAATTGTAACCTCTTCAGCACGTCTTTTTTTCAACAGTGGGACTTTGCGGGGGCTTCTTGCAGATAGCTTGGCTTCACATAGGCGTCTTCTAATTGTAACAGTACTCACAGGTAACTTTAGACCTTCTTTGATCTTCCTGGAGCTGATTGTTGGCTGAGTCCTTGCCATTTTGGCTATTCTATCCATTCGAATGGTAGTTTTTCACTTTCTTCCACGTCTTTCAGGTTTTGGTTGCCATTTTAAAGCATTTGCGATCATTTTAGCAGAGCAGCCTATCTTTTTCTGCACTTCTTTATACGTTTTCCCCTCTCCAATCAACTTTTTAATCAAGGTACGCTGTTCTTCTGAACAATGTCTGGAACGACCCATTTACCTCAGAATTTCAGAGAGAAATGCACTGTAACCAGCATGTACAACATTTGCTGCCTTCCTTCCTTCCTTAAATAAGTGCAATAATTGCCACCTCTTTTTCAAAGAATGAATGACCTCACTAATAGAACTCCACACTGCTATTATTTTGATAGTGATTCAATTACACAGAATCGGCAGCATGCATGTCATGACTGTTGGGTCTGTTGGATTTCTATTACTCTACTACACCTGCTAGTAAATTATTTGCCATGTAGAAATATCATTTCTACCAAAAACAGTGATTGATCAGGTTAGTGATGTCTGACTGCTATTATTTTGAACACAACTGTACATATAGATTCCATAGTTTGGAGTACAACACAGGACATGGGTTCCTCCCCTTTTTTCTTTATGATCTCCTTACTGCTTGCTACAGAACTGGAGCCCCACAAAGTGGTCTAGACTGCATGGGGGAGGGGGGTACTGGGGGCAGTTCCCAGCAAACCTTTTTCTGGTGTCTAATCATCTGAAGGTAGTGACATAAATTTATGTTCGAAGAGTTTCACAAGTTATTGCATAACATATTTTATGTAAAACATTAAACTTGTGTTTTTGCTGTAGGTATGACTTCTTCATAATAAGTCAGTCTGTAAGACAAGGCACAGTGTCTCCAACACACTACAACGTTGTATATGACACCGGCTCCCTGAAGCCAGACCACATGCAGAGACTGACATACAAAATGTGCCATTTGTACTACAACTGGCCAGTAAGTACCTTAGGTGTGTGCGTTAATTTTAATGCTTTTGTTGTTATTCTGTCTGCATTTTAATTGTATATTCTTTTTCCTTTTCAACCCAGGGAGTTATTAGAGTGCCAGCTCCTTGTCAGTATGCCCATAAACTGGCGTTTCTGGTGGGACAGAGTGTACACAGAGAACCACATCTGTCACTTTCTAACCAGCTTTACTACTTGTAGAAGAAATCTAAATATTTTCTTATGTTCAATGCTTTATAACAATAACATGACAGTTTAGTCATAGGTTAGTGTGCGTTCCGTACTGAGATTTAGCAACTTTGTTAAGGCAGGTATGCCATTTTTCAGTTGTAATTGTTATAAATAATGATACACTTTCTCTGGCATACAAGCCACACCCTTTCTTGCTTGAGAACTGTTTGTGTTGTCATCTCAAGGTATAATATAGGCAATATTACTACATGAGCAACTAAATGCGAGTAGGCATTGATTAGCCACCCGCAGATTATCATGGGAACCCCCACTGGGGTTCTCACATCTAACCACAGTGCAAGTGTATTCGCTGGTGTGAATTCACCCTAAATCTGACAATTCAGTTATCAAAATTTGGCCACTCAAGTAGGTCCAACTTTCAGTGTATTCTGTCATTGGCATATGCCATGCCATGTCCCAACAGGGGGCGTTTCCTCCATCCACCTGGTTCCTGTGGATCGAGGAATCTGTTATTATTATTATTTTTGTTCAGTCTGCTGACTTCTTGAAAAAAAAAAAAAACTGTATTAGGTTAGCTTTAGTTTATCCAGTCACATGCTAGCAAAAATAAGAACTTTTCCTTGGACATTATTGGGTTTTCAAAGTGAATATAGATTCACTTTATTTACCAACAGTCACTTCACAAAGGGAACAGTCTTTACTCCATTAGAAAGCGAAGCCCACTGTATTCTGTTGTACTGCAGAAGATTTGTGATACCAATAGTTTACTAGCCATGTCGTGTGTGTATCAAGGAAAATACATTGGCCTTCCTCCATGGTAAACGTGTAACTGTGAAAAGGTGTGTCAGATGTGTGCACATCAGAAGGCCAATAAAATATATGTTCCCTATTTATGGCTTTGGCATATAATTACAGTCATGTTTTTCATTTGCATATAAGATTGGTACATTGATATTCTTCTATCTAAATATAACCTGATCATAAAATATATGGTCTTTTCATTATTCGTTTGTTGCAGTAAACACAGTTACCTGTCTGCAATGTAATTTGAAGGTAATAATCGCCTGTATTTACTAATGTTTACTTTGCAAAGAATACCCATTAAAATGCACCTAAAAATTTAAAAACTGTATTTTTACCTTCACATGAATAAAGTCACTACAACTTCATCTCATTCACGAAGTAAAATTTCTCTGTTAGTGAATGAGGGGAAGCTGTAGTAATTCAATCATCCAGTCCTGTGCATGTAAAAATCCTGTTTTTGTTTTTTAATTTCCATGATTCTGTATTTTTCACAAAGTTAAATTATTTTTGTATGTTTTACTTTATTCACAATAATAAGTGAAAATAATTCAGCCCTGTGGACTCATATGTTTTTGTATTCATGCAGTTGTGTCCTTTATTTTGCACTTGCAATAAAAGTTGATTTACATTGTGGTTATTTATTGCTTTTAAAGTTTATGCATGCAAACTTTTATGGGCATTTTTTTATGCCTAGCATAAATCTTCCAGTGCTTTCCCGCACCCAAGTATTTGTAGGTGCCATGTACTGCTACTATACAAGTGAATAGTGGTTTGTGGTCTTACTTTTGTAAATGCCTTTGCTTCTTTGCATTGGTATTTGTCTGTGCATGGATGTCCAACATATTTTTCAAACATGAAACTTCTACATACGGAAAATATATCAAGACACACATGAGTGGGTAAATGGAGGTTCAAAAAAGCATCTTCATGTACAAGAATACAGCAAGGTGCACCCATTCACTGGTTGTGCAGGCTGTACACAGCATCTTGGGTGGGTGGGGAAAAGTGCCAGTACATTAACATTAGGCATAAAAAATGCCTATAAAGCCTGTTTGCAGAGATTTTTTTTATTTGAAATTTTTTTCCATTTTTAACATTAGTCTTTCATTGCTTT